AGAGGTGTGAGACAAAGGAAGAGTAATAGCGAAGAACAATAGAGTTTCATTCAAAATCATAAGTCACAAAGAGTGGATGCATCTGCGCCATCATTGAGAACGATTTTGAGCCATATCACCAATTGTTTCCAACCATTGATGTTGACCGTCCCAAGGACCCCAACCAGGAAGTCTACACCTTCCTATGTGGCTAGCTTAAACTAACTGCCGTGGGTCTCATTGACTGGTGACATATTTTGGTTTGACCAGCACTGGCTCTTTTCCAGCCTTACCCTATGTCAGCCAACATTGCCCGTCGAGGAAGGCAATGACTATGCATACGTAACACACGTCCCAATCATCTCAGACGTTGTAATTTCACAGCCTCGTCGATTAATTTCCCCTCCTTATCTAGAACTCGACGCCTAACCTCAATATTGTTCACCTTATTATATCACTTCACACGGGAGATAGAACTCAGACACCTATGAACAAAGACAGCTAATCTTTTCATGTCTTCCACTCTCAATGGCCAGACGAATGCAGCAGGGGGGGGCGGGGGCAAAATCATGTGGAATAGTTTCACCGCATCAAATAATAGATGACAGACAGTTCTCCAAAGTCGGTCATCTCCATCATTTATAGCTGCAACTGTAGTCCTTACAGACTACTACTACTACTACTACTACAATGCCTGGTGGGATTCCCTGTCGCTTATATTCTTTCAGGAAGTAGCTGTTAATAAAAGGCTACATCCTGTTGGAAATTCTTTTCGTGCATTATTAATCCGTTATTACAGCATACCGATAGATAATGCCTACAAATTGATGTTAATCAATAAATAAGTATCACTTTGAAAAAGTAGATAAGATATCAACAACAAGAACAACAACATACAAACTGAACAGTTGTCACATATTTATTTACTTATCAGTATTTTATAAAATACACGCACACACAAAAACAAAAAAGAAATTTAGCAAAGAAACAAAAGAAAGAAAAGATACATTCTTTTATTGTTTCTCATTATAATTTACTTATGTGAGTATGAATAATAATAATTCATTAACATTACTCATTGTTATTTAGCTTACACATAAGAAATAAGTCTGTTATATGTTTATATAAAATAAAAACTAGGCATTAATGGGTATATATGTATGTATGAGGCATTAGTACGTATGTATGTATATATGTATATATAATTAGTGACACGGAATTTCATTTATTTATTCATTCACACATTTAATGATGAACAATCAATTGCATAAAGAGAAATCAACTCACAGGCATACGCGCACAAGCACACACACACACAAACATACCAGATAAGTGGATAGTTAGTATACAGCCAAAAGAGGCAAGTGGGATGGTGGAATAATAATATATGCGTGTATGTGTGTGTAGTCTATGCCTACATGTATCACAGAAGGGTGTGTTGTGCACTATAAAACTTGCTTGACGGTAAAAAAACGAACCAAGAAAGAAACCGAGAAAATGATAAAGTGCTTTTCCTTCAATGGAGGAATAGTAGTGAGTGCTCAAAGGGAAAAAACAGTTGAACTTTTTATTTTCAGATATATAGTATGATGATGCGATATACGAACCAGTTCAAACATATACAGAGTTTGTGTGAGAGAAAATGAGGGGTTAGGGGGGGGAGTTTGTTTGCGAATCAACACTGGATTACGTAACTGCATTACAGAGGCAGCAAGACACGAATGGATGGATGGATAGATAGATAGATAGGCAGATAGATAAAAACAAGATAAGATAACAAATAAATGACATCAAGTGTACAACAGAGGGGGAAAAATCTACAATAAACAAACAAGCAAGTAAGAAAAACGTAAAACCGGCACGTTATATGTATATGTGTGGCATTGTATACATATATATATACCACAGAAAAACAGTAGTAGAAGGTAAATCTTCTTTCTTTTTTTAAAGTTTTTTCTCACATTTTTTTCTTTTTCCTGTTCTTAGTCCACCTTAACAACACTGTAGATTTTTCTAACAAACCAGAAACATGCATAGAAACCAATACAACCTGTGAATGATGGAAGATAGAAAACAGAGAACAATTACAGAATGAAAAATGTTAACGTTTCAAATCTGCGTGAGAAATGTAGCAATCAATGTTTTATTATAGCAAGAGATAATTTAATATGCATGTAATGATTTGGGCAGGTTAATTCTTGCCTTTCAGATAACTTCAAATTGAAGAGGCTGTAGAAATATTAGTGACCAAATGTTCAATTACTGACGCGTTGGTGGTTGAGTTGTAGAATACTGGCAGACCACGCAAATGATTCGGGGTTCGAACCCAGGCCGACGTACCCCTTTACCTCGTTTATTCTAGTTGTAAGCCCAGTAAAGACGGAAGATTGGGTATTAGGCTGGCGACCCCATCCTGTAAAAAGCACTCCTGCTATTGAAACTTCAAAGCTGTAGCTTGAAGCCCTACATTCCAATGGGAACGCAAAGGAATAAAAAAACTTTGATCTCTTAGTAACCCATGCAGGATATCTAGTCCTGATTCTGTGGTAGAAACGTTAAATCTTCTAAGAGAAATCCTAATGAAAAATGAATTCTCGCCGAATTTTACAAAAGGAAAATCAAAACTAATGAAGTGTGATTTCACATTTATAACCAAGAGAATGAACGTGACTTAGTCGACAACATCTAAAAGAGAAAAATCTCTTATTGCAGCCTTGTTGAGAATAGTGTTTTCTAGTCGACTATTACCATTCAAAAATCTCAAGGACAAGTAGCTGAACAACTGTGTTTATTAGTTCACTTGCTCCCATGGAGCTTGTTACATCAGTTGTTCGACACAAGCTTTGGTGAACAGGATGTAAGAACACTGCCCTACGTGGTTAAAAAGAGGTGGTAATGGGGCTATTAGAAACTCAATAACTGAAGATCCGGTCGATGTCTGTCTGTCTGTTTTCGACATAGAAATTTGCACAAATGTGCGGAAGTTCAAGTCACCACACTCCCTCCATGTAGCACACAAAGCAACAGAAGAAAGTACAAGAAATACACAATAGAGACAGTAAGCAGAGGTGTGAGACAAAGGAAGAGTAATAGCGAAGAACAATAGAGTTTCATTCAAAATCATAAGTCACAAAGAGTGGATGCATCTGCGCCATCATTGAGAACGATTTTGAGCCATATCACCAATTGTTTCCAACCATTGATGTTGACCGTCCCAAGGACCCCAACCAGGAAGTCTACACCTTCCTATGTGGCTAGCTTAAACTAACTGCCGTGGGTCTCATTGACTGGTGACATATTTTGGTTTGACCAGCACTGGCTCTTTTCCAGCCTTACCCTATGTCAGCCAACATTGCCCGTCGAGGAAGGCAATGACTATGCATACGTAACACACGTCCCAATCATCTCAGACGTTGTAATTTCACAGCCTCGTCGATTAATTTCCCCTCCTTATCTAGAACTCGACGCCTAACCTCAATATTGTTCACCTTATTATATCACTTCACACGGGAGATAGAACTCAGACACCTATGAACAAAGACAGCTAATCTTTTCATGTCTTCCACTCTCAATGGCCAGACGAATGCAGCAGGGGGGGGCGGGGGCAAAATCATGTGGAATAGTTTCACCGCATCAAATAATAGATGACAGACAGTTCTCCAAAGTCGGTCATCTCCATCATTTATAGCTGCAACTGTAGTCCTTACAGACTACTACTACTACTACTACTACAATGCCTGGTGGGATTCCCTGTCGCTTATATTCTTTCAGGAAGTAGCTGTTAATAAAAGGCTACATCCTGTTGGAAATTCTTTTCGTGCATTATTAATCCGTTATTACAGCATACCGATAGATAATGCCTACAAATTGATGTTAATCAATAAATAAGTATCACTTTGAAAAAGTAGATAAGATATCAACAACAAGAACAACAACATACAAACTGAACAGTTGTCACATATTTATTTACTTATCAGTATTTTATAAAATACACGCACACACAAAAACAAAAAAGAAATTTAGCAAAGAAACAAAAGAAAGAAAAGATACATTCTTTTATTGTTTCTCATTATAATTTACTTATGTGAGTATGAATAATAATAATTCATTAACATTACTCATTGTTATTTAGCTTACACATAAGAAATAAGTCTGTTATATGTTTATATAAAATAAAAACTAGGCATTAATGGGTATATATGTATGTATGAGGCATTAGTACGTATGTATGTATATATGTATATATAATTAGTGACACGGAATTTCATTTATTTATTCATTCACACATTTAATGATGAACAATCAATTGCATAAAGAGAAATCAACTCACAGGCATACGCGCACAAGCACACACACAAACATACCAGATAAGTGGATAGTTAGTATACAGCCAAAAGAGGCAAGTGGGATGGTGGAATAATAATATATGCGTGTATGTGTGTGTAGTCTATGCCTACATGTATCACAGAAGGGTGTGTTGTGCACTATAAAACTTGCTTGACGGTAAAAAAACGAACCAAGAAAGAAACCGAGAAAATGATAAAGTGCTTTTCCTTCAATGGAGGAATAGTAGTGAGTGCTCAAAGGGAAAAAACAGTTGAACTTTTTATTTTCAGATATATAGTATGATGATGCGATATACGAACCAGTTCAAACATATACAGAGTTTGTGTGAGAGAAAATGAGGGGTTAGGGGGGGGAGTTTGTTTGCGAATCAACACTGGATTACGTAACTGCATTACAGAGGCAGCAAGACACGAATGGATGGATGGATAGATAGATAGATAGGCAGATAGATAAAAACAAGATAAGATAACAAATAAATGACATCAAGTGTACAACAGAGGGGGAAAAATCTACAATAAACAAACAAGCAAGTAAGAAAAACGTAAAACCGGCACGTTATATGTATATGTGTGGCATTGTATACATATATATATACCACAGAAAAACAGTAGTAGAAGGTAAATCTTCTTTCTTTTTTTAAAGTTTTTTCTCACATTTTTTTCTTTTTCCTGTTCTTAGTCCACCTTAACAACACTGTAGATTTTTCTAACAAACCAGAAACATGCATAGAAACCAATACAACCTGTGAATGATGGAAGATAGAAAACAGAGAACAATTACAGAATGAAAAATGTTAACGTTTCAAATCTGCGTGAGAAATGTAGCAATCAATGTTTTATTATAGCAAGAGATAATTTAATATGCATGTAATGATTTGGGCAGGTTAATTCTTGCCTTTCAGATAACTTCAAATTGAAGAGGCTGTAGAAATATTAGTGACCAAATGTTCAATTACTGACGCGTTGGTGGTTGAGTTGTAGAATACTGGCAGACCACGCAAATGATTCGGGGTTCGAACCCAGGCCGACGTACCCCTTTACCTCGTTTATTCTAGTTGTAAGCCCAGTAAAGACGGAAGATTGGGTATTAGGCTGGCGACCCCATCCTGTAAAAAGCACTCCTGCTATTGAAACTTCAAAGCTGTAGCTTGAAGCCCTACATTCCAATGGGAACGCAAAGGAATAAAAAAACTTTGATCTCTTAGTAACCCATGCAGGATATCTAGTCCTGATTCTGTGGTAGAAACGTTAAATCTTCTAAGAGAAATCCTAATGAAAAATGAATTCTCGCCGAATTTTACAAAAGGAAAATCAAAACTAATGAAGTGTGATTTCACATTTATAACCAAGAGAATGAACGTGACTTAGTCGACAACATCTAAAAGAGAAAAATCTCTTATTGCAGCCTTGTTGAGAATAGTGTTTTCTAGTCGACTATTACCATTCAAAAATCTCAAGGACAAGTAGCTGAACAACTGTGTTTATTAGTTCACTTGCTCCCATGGAGCTTGTTACATCAGTTGTTCGACACAAGCTTTGGTGAACAGGATGTAAGAACACTGCCCTACGTGGTTAAAAAGAGGTGGTAATGGGGCTATTAGAAACTCAATAACTGAAGATCCGGTCGATGTCTGTCTGTCTGTTTTCGACATAGAAATTTGCACAAATGTGCGGAAGTTCAAGTCACCACACTCCCTCCATGTAGCACACAAAGCAACAGAAGAAAGTACAAGAAATACACAATAGAGACAGTAAGCAGAGGTGTGAGACAAAGGAAGAGTAATAGCGAAGAACAATAGAGTTTCATTCAAAATCATAAGTCACAAGGAGTGGATGCATCTGCGCCATCATTGAGAACGGTTTTGAGCCATGTCACCAATTGGCTCACCCAACGGAAAGCTGCTACCTTGACGTGGTGGTCGGGCTTGAACACCGCAATGACCTAATCAAGCTATACTGGCTGAGACTTGTGTCTCTTGAGGTCCTACCATGCCAGGCAGGTTGTTTGGATAGCGGTTAAACAAAAAGCAGCTACCCAATCCAACATTATGATAAATACAAAATCACAAAATTTCATACCGGATCGGCCGTGGCCCGGATTAACAACGACCGCGCTTCTTGCTGCCGTGTCACAGGGTAGGAGTGATAAATATGCTACTGAGGCACACCAAACAAAAAAGAACGAACAAAGAAAAGCAGGTCTCGTGTGACCGGCCTCAAGCAGTTGTCCTCTTGGCTCTGCGGTCACGCAACCAACTTCCACGGTGTGGGCAGCCGGGAAGTAACAATCACCCTCACAATCCGAAACGCACGCGAAACCTCTCTATTACTCACTCATCTTTGTCTTCATCATCATCTCTATTACCTTGCCTTCCTTCCACTGATGCAACTCCTTTGCTTGATAGCTCTTCACTTCCTCTCCACTCTGTGTCCACTAAAAACGACGGAAGCCAAAAAACCACCAGCGATAGATCCGGTCGATACTAGTCACCTAATTTCTACAGCCACTTCCTTTAAAGTTATAGTTTAATATGCTTGATATATTATTGAAAACAACGCAGTTAACCATTGCAGCCTTCTCAAAGAAGGATGGAGAAACTTCATCGCTTCTCCTAAGTAAACTCTTTTACAGGAGGATGATTAACACTGTAGTTTCAATTTGTTAACTCTCTAAACTTATCCCTAGATTTATGTGGATTTATTTCACACCTTTATTCACATTATGTAACCAACTGTCTCGTTACTCAAGCTAGTTTTATCTGAAACACTCAGTTTCCTTTTCAGAAACATTCATGAATCAACAATTTCAGTTCATCATTGGGTAAAAATGACTTCCTTTTCCCTTTAGCAGTGAAAGAAACGCGTTTGCACTTTCCCATAACTGCTTGTTAAAATAGTAATAGTGTAGCGGGTGCTACTGACAAGATTTTTTGACCGGTATATCGCGTGTGATGTCTTCTGCAAGAATATTTTTGAATAGAGGATCGAAGAGATTTCACTGTAAGCTTTCTACACTTTGTCATCATTTTACGTCATTTTTCCAAGCAAGCAATCTGATACAAAATATTAGTGTATCTCGTCGAGACATTTGGTGGCACGGCTTTCCACCCGATGAAGATCCTGTGGCTTACAGCTCTCGAAGAAGGAGACATTCAGATAGATGGACAGAAAGCATTGAGGAAATTTAGGAGTCAATAGCTTGCATGATGTAGACGAAAGTCCTTTGGTTTCAGTAGAATCACTGTCATTACAGTAGTAGTAGTAATAAATTAGTTAAAAACATAACTTATTTATCAACTAGAATGTATTGAAAAAATAACAATAACAATAATAATAACTTACCAGTAAATAAAAAGTTAAGCCATAAAATGATAGCGATATATCCAAAGTACAAGAAAGCTGAGACTGCATCTTGAAATTCTAATCGTGTTGCAAAATAATGAATAGAATAAGCGAATAAATAGAAGGATGTTCCAGCTCCCGTATTCAATGACCGCCACCACCATTGATAATCCTGTCGAATTGAAATTAAAAATCAAAAGTTACCATCATCATCTTATACAATGATAAGAAACAATGAGATGATAATACTACTAATAATAATGATATTAGTAATAACCCACCCAAGGATGTTTAGGCTATGAAACGCATTAGGGGAAATGGATCTGCAATACTACCTGGTTTTCTAATTTGAATATAAATAGTAAATATTTCAAATAATAATAATATCATTTGGCCGAAAAAGACAAGCAACAAGCAACTACCGAAGTTCAACGGACCCAATAAGAACTTATCATCTAACAAATATGTGGAAGCAAATGGAGATGGATCGCACACATATACACTGAGGGGATTGTTCAGCAGTGTCATACGAAAGGCGGACTCTTTAATGGAACCCGAATGAGAAAGGCTAGTTGGGAGTGGGTCCCAGGGCGACATGCATAGGAGATTTTGTGAGGAGGAAATGAAGGTCTATTGGCGATCAGAGAGCCGGCTAAAAACAACTGCAGAGAACAGAGTGAAATTGTGATGTTTTGCTGAAGCTTTGTGTTCCACTTGGAAGCTAAAGGAATAATAATATTTTTTTTTTATAATCCTTACAATCATAATAATAATAATAATATGCAACAGAAACTTACTCGTTTGGTTCTGGTTAGAACTGGAATCCAGGACGTGCGTGTCATCCTACTCGGGATTTATCAATTAGTTGTACCTGCTCCCCAGTGAGTAACTGTTTGCTAACTATAACCAAACAAGTAAATTCTACACCTTAATCCAGCTAATATCAAGATATCTGTTCAAGGAACTTATATACTAAAATGCTGATCAATTAAGTCGACATATATTACACTATAGAAAATATCCCCATTTAGACATTTAGAAAAGAGAAAGATTGAGCGAAGAAATATTTACTTTTCAATTAGATCCTCATCTCTGGCTCTACTCTAATATATATAGCATTTTAATTACAATATACAACAATTTACCAATCAGGTGGCGATATGTTTGTTAACAATAATTAGTCGGTGTCAAAATGTCAATGGGGTGTTATCCTTGTAAAAATTATTTTATTCTTATGACCACTTAAACTTTAGTTACAAATTATCATTGTCCAAATTGTTTTATTTTCTTTAACAATCTGTTACGTAATCAACCTGTGCACACGCTTATTCCTTAATTGTTCTTCATTTTTCCAAAATTATGCATTATGCAATCCACGTGTTGTAACCATTTCCACCTTTTAATTATATATATTACACTGCGAAATTACAAAGATGAATACGTTTACAGCGTAGGCGGTGAATATTCTGATAGAATGTTTTGCTTCAACAAGGTTGGATTTTCATTTCTAGAGCACTGGTGACGAAGACAATGTCTAGTTTGAAAATCCCGCTAAAGAGATCTATAACAGGAAGAGTAACAAACTGCTCAATAGAACATATCGATAGAGTATTAATTATGTATTTTTTGGGCTACAATGCCAAAATCTCAATTTCAAATTAAAATGGCTATATATATATATATATATATATATATATATATATATATATATATATATATATATAAGCCAGAAATAATGCTGGTAAAGAGGAAAGGTTGGGCATGAGGCTAGCAACCCCATCCTCTAAAAAATAAACACTCCTACAGAAACTTCAAGCCGCTAGCTTGAAGCCCTATGTTCCACTGGGGAACGTGAAGGATATATATATATATATATATATATATATATATATATATATATATATATGGGTATTCTGGAAGTGTGTACAGCTCAAAGGGCCGATCTGTCATCCTTTTTGGATGTCAGTGAGACCTGACCATTGAGGGCGGAAGACATGAAAAGGCTAGCTGTCTTTGACCATAGGTACCTACGATCTATCTCGCTTGTGAAATGGTATAATAGGGTGAGCAATATTGAGGTTAGGCGTCGAGTTCTACGTAGATGGGAGAGGAAATCAATAGATGAGGCTGTGAAGTGACATAGACAGCGATGGTTTGGACGTGTGGTATACATGCCTTGCCATAAATCGCCTTCCTCAGAGGGCAATGTTAGCTGACATAAGAATGTTCAGACTGGAAGAGAGCCAGCAGTGGTCAAACCAAAACATGTCCCCATCAGTCAATGAAATCCACAACAGTTAGTTTAAGCTAGCCACGTAGGAAGGTGTAGACTTCCTGACTGGTTGGGGTCCTCGACACAGTAAAAACCAATGGTTGGAGACAATTGTTGATGTGGCTCAAAATCGTCCTCAATGGCGTAGGTACATCCACTCCTTGTGAATTATAATACCTAATAAAACTATATTGTTCTTCAATATTACTCTTCTTTTTGCTTTATACCTCTGTTTACTGTCAGTATTTTGAGGTTCTTTTTACTTTCTTCTCCGGCTTCGTGTGCTGAGTGAAGTGTGGCGACTAGAACTGCTGCACACCGGTGCAAAGTCCAATGTTGAAACCGGTCAGTCAGTCAGTCATATGGGTATTCTGACGATCTAGACTATGGAATAGACAGTTTTACAAATATAATGCCTAAACTTGTAACGGGATGAAGTATTATCCAACTTTTATTGAATATATCTAACGCAACAAAACTTTATGCCTGGTATGCTCAAAAGTGCCAGTGGTAGAATGCTCATCAACCACGTACGTGGCTTGGGATTTGATTTCCAGCCGACGTACTTTGAAAACTCTCTTACCCGGTAAAGAGGCTAAGTTATGCGTGTGGCAAACAAAAAACCACCACTGATACTGAAGTTTTCAGTCCTATATATTCCACTTAGAATGTAAAGCAATGGGAAATAAAAAAATACTCAAAAGCTTACCTCTCCACAAAGTTGGAAATAACACATTAGTATAGCAGTTTCAGATATTGTAATTACAAGCATAATGAAAACAAGAAATAGGAAACCAAACATATAATAAAATTGTGCACCCCATATACTATTGAATATAAAGAACAATTGGATGAATATACAACTGAATGGTAACAATCCACCGACAAAAAATGCCATCAGTGGTCGACTGTATAAACTTTGATAGGGTATTTGACGTGGTATTTGATTTGTACGAACAGGAGTTTCATATACCTGAAAAACGAAGAAATATATGCCATACACAATTATTATAGCATAGTAAATATTAAGTGAAGAAAAATACTACATAATTGATTTCAAATTAAATTTCAACACGAGAACTAGGAAGCACAGAACAGACGTTTTTGTCGTAGTTTAGAAGTCATCAACAGTAAGCACCCATGACATCAGAAGGGATGAAACCCAAGACTTCCAGGCCACCAAACTAGCCTGTTGACCATCCAGTCACTGTATCGGAATCCGTTGGTTCATGAATTCCAACACTCCCGTCAATTTACAAAATGTATGTGTCGCCACCGTCATCAAACGCCATCGGTCAGTGTCTTACCTTGGACTGTCTGCAGGAATTGTTGGTTTGTGATTCTTGTGGAAAGTTTTGATTCCACAATGGTAGCAATACTCTACTTGATTGTTAGGTACTTCTTACAGTTAAATTTTGGTTAACTAATTTTGTTCTACAGTACTTGTCACTTGTATAACAGTGGGGTTAGACAGGGTGGCCCAATCTCTCCATGTCTCTAACTTTGCCATCGATGACATTCTGCAGTCAGCTCTGAAGGATGTGCATGAAGGTGGTGTAGATCTGCTACCTGGAGATAGAATTTCCGACCTCGAATACGCAGACGATATCGTGTATGTAAGTATGGTATGTGCTTTGCGCCGTCTAAGTGCAAAGTAGTGTTACAAGATTGACAGGAGCCTACACCTCCACTCACTCTTGCGGGTGAACCGCTTGAAGTTGTTGATAATTTTGTGCATCTGGGTAGGTGTGTGAGTGCTGGCGGAGGGGTGACGGATGAGATTTCCAACCGTACCATGAAGGCTAGGGTGGCATACATCAACTCGAGCCACCTCTGGCGCCATCGCGACGTTAGCCTGGTTGTCAAATGTCGGGTATACAATGCTTCGGTGCCGGTTGCGCTGCTCTACGCCTGTGAAACCTGACCTCTCTGAGTAGGCTGAGGATGTGCGGCGACTCTGCGTGTTCGATCACCGCTGTCTCTGCAGGGTTGCTTGCGTTCGATTGCATCATCGCGTGAGTAATTCTGAGGTTCGGCGACGTGTGTTCGAACACAGTGGAGATCACCATTCATTGAATGTCGTCATCTGAAAACACCGGCTCCGGTGGCTTGGACATGTGCTGCGAATGTCACCCCAGAGGCTTCCGTACAGGTCTCTGTTCGCTGGCCAGCCCCGGGACGGGATGGAAAAGGCGGAGGGGTGGTTAGTCCATGACATGGCGTTGTGGGATGAAGGATTTTTGTGCTGATTAGCATCGGTTGGTGCGTCACGACACCTTGGTTGGGGTCCGAGAGATAGTTCGAATCGATGGCTCGAAACGTTATCGGATATGTCAAAGAATCGCAATCAATGGCAATTTCCTTCTTTCTCTCCTTCCTGATGATAGTTAACGAATACTGTTTGAACTTGTTAAGCATGACTGTTTTCCTTCCAGATGAAGTTCTTTATCCGTTCTATACTTACATATATTTTTTCTCTTCTTTTTTTCTTTTGATTTATGTCGTTTTATTATTATTGTGTGGCGCATCCTTCTTGGTGCCATATTGTACCAAGTTTTTTATGCGTTTAAATAAATAAATAAAATAAATAAATGTCACCTGTATAGCTACATAAACGGTACTGTTGAGGTAATTTACAGTTTTTGATGTTATTATTGTTGTTGAATAGAATCACGTAGACTCTTTTTTGCTGTCTTTTGAGCATTTTGTGACTATGCATTTCTTAAGCAAGCTTTTTCACCTATACAGTACCACAAAGAGTCAGTTTTCCATTTTATTTATGCCTTATTTTCTAATTTATTCATTCTTATCCTGATGAATTGAATTTTGCACAAGGGAATATACGTCACTAGTCAAACAACCTCTGAATAGTTAGCATGCATATCAGAGATATGAATTTAATGACATTCGGGTTTACTTCACTGAATACATTTTAACATACTCTACTACCACCTATTTCACAATATACTCCATAGGGGGTCGTAGAGCCAGCTGTGTAAGTGATTTCAGAGATTAGACTAGATATGTTGTCGAGGTTCTATGTTCCACTCGGAACGCAACGAACCAATAATAATAATAATACTTCGTAATATCTTCTACTTAAAAGCCCGACCAAACTATCAGAGGAAATCTATCTAACATAGATTTGTTATCTCTTGAAACAAAAACACTACATAACTAATTGTGGATAACTTTCAATACTGTTTATATATTATACAAAGGAAAAAGTTTTCACCACCACTGCCACCACTTACCGATCGTCTGAAACCAAAGAATGCTCCAAGAAAACACAAAGGTAAACTAACACATAACCAAAGTGCCAAAAGTGCAACTATAGTACCGAATGGTGTAGCAGTTGCACTGTCTAATATCCATAAGGCGAAATTCAATATAAGGAATAGTGAAAAGACAAAAGCTGGACAAACTGTTGCTGTCAATATCACATTTGTTTTCCATCGTAAACCACCAAAGAATTTGTAAATTCTAGCTGATGCATAACCTTTAAAAAATTTTTAAAAAAATTAACAAATCTTAAAGTCTATAAACATTAATAAGTTGTAATACAATAAAAATGGAAATATACTTCGATATCAAATCTAATTGTCAGTCAGCTAAAGTAGTTGATTGGCAATGAACCACACGTATTTGTCGCCTAGGTTGAAAGAGGTGGAATGCAATTTGAACCCGGAGAACATTGGCTCGGAGTTGAGTGTTTGATGTATAGATAGATAAACGGTGGAGTATCCCTTTAAGGTTATATTCTCTCACGTCTACGTCACTTGCCACTAGCTCTGGATACATACTCATTCGGATACTTGTAAATATACTTTTTCATCTCACGTCACTGTGTGTTCTCGCCAAAGTAGCGGAGGATGGCAGATCGGGTAGCTGTTGTATGTGATGATGGAGTAGCCTAGCCTAGCGACATTGCGTAACCAACGCATTTGTATCTAGCTCAACCTCCTTATTCAGTTCAACGTATTGCACATGCAAAAGTGGCGACTTCATAACAGTGCTTAAGCCCAGAGCTACACATCTTCAAAGTGATCAATGAAAGTCTCATTATTAAGAAAAGAATTTTGGTTTAATTACTTTGAATGATATATAGGAACAAACTAAAATCCGATATTAAAAATGCATTCATCCTGAATCCTGCTATCTAGATTTAAAGTGGTATTAATCACACCCCTACACTTCTTACTGCTAATTCTCATTTTATTTCTTACACTGTTTCATATATGGTACAACTTAGCATCAAAGGACATCTAAGACTTATTTAATACAATTTGGACTTTTCCATCGACTGACTGGGTCGAGATGTTCAGCATCTGTTGACATGTCAGCTTCTAGTACGGATGCTTCGATGATGTCTGAGGATTGAATTTAAAGCAATTTCAAGGATGGTGAATGGAAGTACATTCAGTTGATGCGTCCCAAATAGGACGAAATGAGCATCATGGATTCCACTGCTAGTGTCGCTATCCACCAAATTAAATCGAAGACTTGTTGCATTGAAAAAAGAAACGTTGGTAACATGTACACGTATATGGATGGTTTCAGTAGAACTCTGGTGAAAATCCTGTGTATCAAGTCAAATTAATTAACTAATTTTTACAGAATGTTCAGATTTGAACTTTAAAAATTTGTATTAAATCAAAACACTATAATCGAGCGTTTTATATCATTATCACACGTAGAATATGACCCATCAATCGAGAACAGGTTTTTAGATACCAAGTTAATAAGTACATTTGCTACACTGAAACTATTGATACCAATTTTAGTAGTTTGAACTCCACAACATAATCAACTTGTATGTATACAATTAGGTTGTGAAGTAGCATAATGGCTTAAGTGTCCGACTTGTAAGATCCTGGTGGTCATGAGTTTAAATTCCACCCCCACTTTACTTAGCGAAGTTTGGACATTCTACATAGATAAAATAACCAGCTTCTTATAGTTCACTGTCAAATGAATATAAATGTAAGTGGTTGTTGAGTGACTACTTTCAGAGTTGAAGGCCAAGAGCCTCAACCTGAAAATCACAATTCTACGAGTAGATTCACGCAGTTTCGTCTCAGAAACACTCATACACTTTATTCAAAGTTAAAAACGCCATTTGATTAGGCTAAATTATTTAGAATGCTGTGTTTGTGTCCTTGAATTTAACTTTAAGCATTCATTGTACACGTTTATTTCAATTAATGATCTTTTTTATCTTGAACAATTATTTATCGACCAGATATTGTTCAGACTCAATTTTATGGAAGAAAAAAATGGTGGTTCACGGGTATAGAATGTTGACCAACCACGCACGGGGTTCAGGGTTCCACCCCCAGCTAGAGCACTACTCTTACACCTCACCTACACGATAGCAACCCCAGCAAAAATACAAGGTTGGTTGTGAGTGAGGCCAGGGAACTCCATCCCGTAAAACAAAAGACACTGGCTACTGAAACCTCACGGCATTAAAAAACCTGGAATCCGTTCGGAACGCATGGAATGAAAAAACAAAAAAAGAAAACAAAAGCAAAATACCTGCTGAAGCTCCTAAACAAGCGAATAATGCCATGGCACAAGTCATCAGTGCACCACGATTTGCTGGACTTAAAAATCCAAGACAGGCAAAAAATAAGGTAACCAATAACATTTGAAATATTTGAACACCAGAACCAACAAGAACAGAGAAAAGCATGCCCCATGCAGGTGGACGAAATACATCACCATGAACTAATTTCCATCCAGATTCCTCTTGAACAGCAGTCTGAAATAAAACGAAAAACACATTTATTTAGTCTAATATTAGTACACAATAGTTTTTTTTTTAAATTTAAATCACAAAGTTGGCGAACCATGAGTATCAGGAAATAAGGTCGACAAAAAAAATAGTTATAACACTAGGAATAAAAGACAGTCGAAGAATAACAGAAGAGACAATTAACCGTCTTTACAAAGTGTATTTAGTGTATTTGCTTCTACTACGTATTGCATTTTAATAATAGAAAAAGCAAACAGAAATCTGCAAAAAGATTTTAAACCGTCTCCACTCTAGATTATAATTCATATAACACCACGAGCCAGTCGACTTTAGGATCTTATTCAGAAAATAGTGGTGTACCGATATAATGATAATTACTGTTCATTTTACAAAAACCATGTCGTGAATTAATCACCCCCCCCCCAGCGTATTCTAATCAGTCCCCAGGTGCACAATTAAGTGGATAATATCAAAGTTTCAAAAATGCCATACAAGACCCTGCTACTGAAGATATCATTCCAAGATAACACGTTAAAAAGTATCCAGTTTGTCGAATCACCCCCCTGTTGAACCTCGGAATTAATTACATGGTGTCCTGATCAGATGAGAAGCCAGAAATCTTTAGATCAGAGGGACAAACTTCCCAGGTGCAGAGTATAACTATACACATTCAGGTGCTGCAAACTTGACAGCTAACGATCAGATTAACAACGACAGAGCTGCGGATGGCTCAGATTCGTATTAACTACTTCCTATTAGTCATTTCAAAAGTACTTTGCTTTTCGATGGATGGCACTAGTACGTTACAACACACAGAACTAACTATATCAAAATGAAGTAGCGATCAAAAATGGAGCTTACAAATAATCCAACCGTCGTCTCCACCCTCGAGGCGGTGACAAGCATTTTGCCTCCAAAGCCTCAGAATGGTAGGGGGTGGATGCCTTGGGCTGCGGGTTGGCCACCCCTCCGTACACCTCTTGAAATGCTCCCATATGACCGGGCGTCTTACATAGCCTCTCCTGAGGAAGTCCTACTCACTGCCTTCACGTGGCGGAGGTTTTTTTTCTCCGAAGTGAGAGGGCAAAAGCGGATTCCCGGCGCTCTTCACCGGGTTGACTGTCCATTGGATGACAGTCTAGGGGAGGGAGATGGCTAAACCCTGATTCCAAGCCTCCAACGACTAGCGTATGAAGTTCACCGGAGCTCACCGGCAGACGTATGGACAAAGGGCTTATTGGATGCCCTGGATGTCTGGTCCCATTCAAAAAGGCGTATGAACCGGACTCCGGTCACCGGCTGCCAATGGATAGTGGACTCCCTACTCCACTCCTACTGCCTTGTAGGTCACACTTGGTTGTGTAAAGGCTAGAGCTGCACTCTCAAACAAAAGGCCGAGAGATAGGGACATCACTCGTACCTAATTCCCATGAAACTTCATGAACTCTCTCTCAGTTCTAAATCCCTCGCCATTTCCATCTTGGCAATGTCGCAGGGGTGGACAGCTAAAAACATGGCTTGGTACAGTCAAGGCTGATATGGAGTCCCTGGGGCTACAAACCGTCTACGGACTCCGTCTGCGGAACAAGAATTGGATAACCCTGTCGCAAAACCTTGCATCAGATCGCCGCGCCTGGGCAGCGATGATTCGAGACGTTCATGAAGCCGGCTCATCCTCCCGTAGGAGATAGCCGAAGTAAAGTAAGTAAGTAAAGACTAAAACGAAAACACTTACAGCACTTTCAAGTTCTGTATAACGAGCTATATCACGACGCAGTGTACGCAACAAGATAGTTGCAAGAAGCCCAGACAAGAAAAGTGTAAGCACCGAAGAATTGAGAATCGACAACCATTGTATATTACTCTGTGGCATTGTGTCCAAAATATAATCCCAACGTGACGACCATTTACGAGTTAAATCTTCCTATAGTTTAAAGAAAGTAAATAATCAGTTACAAAAAGGTGTGGCTAGAAAAACTCAGTTTTTAAGTAAAGAGCATACAACACTGATATATAGATACAAGTTTTAACTACCAAGTCAAACTACAACAGTGTGTGAAGTGAAGATACTTCTGATACTTGAACTCATTGTCTACTGATGAGTACTATTTACGGATAATAATTGCTGGTTTAGTTATAAGTATCTGAAAACATTATATTGTACTAGATACTCTCCGGGGTTCGACTCCAGGCCGACGCAATGGTAAAAATTGCTTAGCTGACAGTAAACCTAGTAAATAGTGAAGGCTAAACGTGAGACTAGCAACCCCACTCTATAAAGAAAAACCGCCAGTAAAACTTCAAAGCTCAAGTTTGAAACTCAGAGGAATGAAAAAAGGAATTAGTGTTCATAGCCCAAAACACTACATTTCTGAAGTTGGCAGAGGTTGCTGCTCAACGCAGATTCGAATAAGTGAGGAAAAACAAAATCAAAGGACTTTAGCAGTTGAAATTTCTTAATGCGTTGTTTTTAGGGACCACATTAAAGTTAACATGATCGTATTCATCAAAGGAATTTCACCCTATTCCAATACCTTCTTTTGCTTTGGTTCTGAATGAGGCATATCCATCTTGAAACAACTGACTATAACAATATCCTGGAAAAGAATTCTTTAGTAGTGTGACAACAATTCATTAGTAAACAAAATCATGATCTTGTAACACTGATTTCTAGTTATATAACAAGTAAACTTGATTGGTATCGTTTTGCATACGCTTTTCATACTATGTATAATTTAATAAGTCAACCAAGCCAATCTAACGTTACAACGCAATAGAGAGAATATGGTGAGAGATCAAATTTATACGAAGACGGAAGGTCCTGGGTGCGAGCCCGAATGAGTGAGTACCAATGAAAAACCACAAACTACGACGAAACAGCTGTCCAGTACTCCCTGTTGGTATCCAATGGTTCTCTAACTCATGTCAATCCGTCATCAAAGTTTAGTTAAATAATAGTTGATTTAGTAACTTATTTTTGCGTTTTTATATAGAACTTTAAAAACATTCAGTAAATGTTATTGTGACTACCTTCTCTGTTATCTTTATTAACTTTGTCCTACTCTTTAATGAATACATAATACTTATATCTAGTTCGTACTTAATAACCACTTCTGTCGTTTAAAATAAATGTATACAAAGGTGAAAAACAGTATAATGTATAGAAATACACATTTGACAATGTTTACTACTTACCTCAAATGTTACACTATAGGTATATGTAATTTTAAGTTCATTTTTCAAGTTAGCTGGTAGTAACAATGGCTGTTTTGATGTACAATCAACTTTCTTGTCTGGATGAGCAATACTAAAGTGATAAAAGGAATAAACAAAGAAGAAGTTGATCTTGGTGTCAACAGACGAACACAACCATCCTCATATGAAGGATAATTTGTTACCAGATAATACAACAGAGATAAACAATGAGGGAACTGATAAAATGAAAATTACACTTTTTCTTCATTTCTTTTCGTTCCAACTGGAATATAGGACTTCAAGTTCGAACTTTGGTGTTACAAAAGCGGTTTTTGTTTGTTTGTTTGTTTTATGGGATGGGGTCGCTATCTTCACGCTCAACCTTCTTCGCTTTACTTGGCTTACTACCGGTCGGAAGTCGAACCCAAACCACATATGTGGCAACCAAGCATTGTGATTAAACCAATGGCAACAATAAATCACAAGAAGAATACAAACCTGCACAAGGTTATCACATTGGATTTAGAGTTCTACACGTAAAACACTCGCCTAACGAGACACTATGACAAAGTTTAGTATTGAATGTTAGTCAGATTTTCAAATAATATTTTTGTAGACAAACACTTGATCTCATATAAGAGATTAATGAATACTATCTTGTCAGACTCTGTCTGTCTGTCTGTTTTCGACATAAAACTCTGCACCGATGTGCGGCTGTACAATTCGCCACACTTCATGTAGCACACAAAGCAAGAGAAGAAAGTAGAAGAAATACACAATAGAGACGGTAAACAGAGGTGTGAGACAAAGGGATAGTAATTACGAAGAACAATATAGTTTCATTGGAAATCATAAGTAACAAGGAGTGAATGCATCTGCGATAGCCATTGAGAACGATTTTGAGCCATGTAACCAATTGTTTCCAGCCATTGGTTTCTACCGTCCCAAGGAGAGAAACCAGTCAGGAAGTCTACACCTTCCCACGTGGCTTAAACTAACTGTTTTCAGACTCAGTATCCTCTTTATACACAACTCTCCGCTTACACCTTATCAGGTAGGGCTAAAAGCAATTATAAAAGACTTTACGCTCCGACAATTCGGTATAAAAACTCTACAATGTACTAATTAGAACGTATCTATGTGATAAAGAAAGTGTAGGGAATAACCCTAGTTAACTTAATGAGAAACAACAACTAAACGGTCCTTCTTATTCTTCCTTTCATTAATATATTGTTGTTGCTATTTCCACTTAATTTCAACTTTACATTCATATTCCTATTGATATTACTGCCACTGCGTCGGTGGCACAGTGGTTAGGACTCTCGCCGACCATGCACATGGTCCCGGGTTCGAGCCCGCACCGACGCACATCTGATATCTATGGTCGGCCTGCAAAATTTGGGCTACCGATATCCATGCTGAAAATTCCATACTTGTACCAATAATACAGTGTGGAATCAAGCTGTAAATCAAAAAAAAAATCTAAAAGCCCTATTATTTATTTACCCGGGATTATGTAATGCAAAGAGAAAATCAATACTGTAATACTACTGTATTATATACTGAAAGTCCTATATATTATAGCAAAAGTGCTGTTTGAAATAAGGTCATTATGACTACTATTCTCATACTCAATAAACTAGATTGTGAGTTACTCAAAGAGAGATATGTTCGTCAATACTTCATCATATCAGGTCTACTAGCATCCTTATATAGATTATCAGTACCAGGACGATTACCGAAGGGCACATAGTATTAATTAACATCGTAAGAAATACATCTTTCTCCTTCATCATTGACCGGTGAGCATTCATAGACCAAATAACAAAGCTTCAAAACGATGTGATAAGCTGAGTAAGAGTCAGTAAATTGTATATCTCAATAAAAAGAAACATGTGTCCTACACAAACCAACACATAATAACAAAATAAAGGAACCATTTGATAACCCCTGAGCCAAGTGAAACATTCACAACCAACTACAAAAATCTTGGACAAACATGAACCTGTTCACCTGTATCGGATTTTTTTGTGTCAGGTTATAAAAGTCAGACAATTTATTGTGTTGGTGACACTAGGTTTGGTGGGATTTAAACTTAGAACCCATTAGGAAGGAGGTTGTGTGCGATTAAGCGGAGTCATTTTGTCGTACAGGAATGCAGTACGAAATTTTGCATCTGTTTTAGTCTTAAAAAGAAATTAACTAAGACTTAAACAGATTGTATTTTAACTGTACAACAAACAGTATCAGTAGTAGCATCCCTACTATATAAAAACTCTTAAGTATGTTAAGTCGAGCTAGTGCACAAAAAAGAGCATTAGGAAAGTTTGATCGAAGGATTCAACTGTGTTAGACAGACTTCGTAAATATAGACTTCTTATGATCGAATCTCTATAATTTTGAAAGAATTTCGTGTATGGACAAAACCTTCCATTCATTCACGAATGGAATAATGGAACAATAATCTACATCTTCGATAATCTTCATCACTTGTCTTGTTAGTGTGAAATAATCACCAAAACAACAAACGATAATATTTCAAAAACCGGTGAGAAAATCTTACCTACGAGGACTGGCAATCACTGATAAAATACGTCCAGCTTTAACATTTCCTGCACCACTCCATGAATCTTCAACCGGATGATAAATTATATGCAGACTGATATGATTTAACAAGACAACATCTTGTTTATTTAAAGGCTAATAATTAAAAAAATAATAATTTACACGTATAAAACGCATTAATCAAACAATGAAAATTGAATGAGTATTTTTCATACAAATAAAAAACACAATTACGTTTTTTGTATTTCAATAGACAATATACAATCCTATAAATGAATATTTTATGCACCAGCTTAAAGTTATTTTTACCTTTCTTCTTTATCTTAAGCAATAACTTTATAGAAACTGCTACATTATTACATTATTACCATATTGATGATGCCTGTCAACTGTCATGTGCATTAAAAGACAGTATATTATTATAAGATTCATTTTATTGTTATATTAGGAAATTGACTTCAAGCTTTATTTATTTTCCCAAGTATCTGTAATCCATCCAACGAATACTTGGGTTTTTTTTTGTTAATGCGAAGTCAATATCCCTATATCTCCTGATGTGGTCCATTGAATCACTAGTTTTCAGATTTTTCCCACAAACTAAAGACAAAATGACAGCAACCGTAAATCGTGTAATTTAAACAATATTTATGCATGCCTATACAATTGGTGTATCCTACATAGCTAGGAAAAAATATGTACTTTATTATCTTTACTAACTATGCTTACTAATCGTATGTGTAATTTATAGAATTGATGATGCCTGTAAACTGGCGTCCCCCATGTACAAAAATGAGAATATATTATTATTATTAAGAGGAATACAGTACCTTCTAATAATTGTCATGAGTATTGTAATGGTAACTGACTGGTTGACTTATCAACGCATAAGCCTACAAAAGAGTACACCCCTTGAATTTACCACGAGTGCACTTATATTAGGAAAGAAATGTAATATGTAGCCAAAACAGACGAGGATGTAAACGTTTGCGTAGAAGATAACAAAGAGTAATTCCATTTACGCAATTTTGGAAAATATCGAGCTTAATCATCACCTGTAAGTCTTTAACTATCAATTCTAAACATTCTGAGGACGGGAACACAGCTCAGACTAACAGTCTAAGACTTCATAGATTAGTGATATGTTTCTGTCAGATCACCTTTATCTCTTTCCCAATCTTATTATATTTCAGCTAAGACTGTTTCTCGGGGTATTCAATGACTCAGAATGCAAATCCCATGTCCTAGCTGTCTTAATCCATCAACCCCATAACCTAACCGGTTGACTTCTATTCTTAGCCTAATACTCTACGCCTTATCTTATTATTACTAACCGTATTTTTCTATCCAACTAGAAAGACTGGACGGAAATACCGATGATCAAACACCACCAGCATAGGGATGGAGTGAAACAATGAACAGTACGTAGGTTTTTGGTAAGTAGCCATTAAAACCGATAAGTCATGATTTAACTACTTTAGTAATGGTATCACTGACTTTTAGACTCAATGATGCAGGTTCAAATCTAAGAAGAAACGCGGGGTTTTTTTATGGTTGCACTTCAGAAAAAAACTTAGTTCAGCAAGGACTTTTTGTTTATTAACTTTTAAAATCAAGCAACAATAAAAATGTCCTACAATGTCAAATCATACAGTTTAATCACTATATATATATATATATATATATATAAAGAACAAATGAAACGAAGACTCACAATTCCTAGACACACTGAATCGGTTTTATCCTGATTGCCTTCATAGCATCCGAGCGGAATTCCAGTTTTGCAGTACCTTTTCCCATCTACAGCTTGTACACAAACTGTAACTGGCAAATTATCCATAACCCTTTATGAGTGGTAGAAGAAAACCATGCAATAATTATTTGGTACTGACTAATAACACAAACCAATTCTTTATCTGGCTGTTTACGACTATCGTTCAGGGCATGATTTTTATAATAGTGGTAAGGAAACTTCAGTTAAATTCCATTAACAAACAAATTCATGATTCCTGTAAAATTAAAAATTCTGGGGGACCTACTTGCTAATACATTATATTTGTTATATAACGTGACCATAACGACTGAGGCTGAGAGATATCGATTGCAAAAATGTGAATTAATCGTTTATGTTTTTGTGCTTCAATAATGTGCCTTTACCTACCCAATTATTAACTATGTTCTGACTGTATTTCATTTAATAGGTAGTGTTAGCAACTACCTTGTAGACACTAGACATCCGTAAAACCCTTAATATGTCGGACTTTTGATCAAATCAGAAGTAACTTAATGACTGTACTAGATAGCTACAATTTTATACTATGATAACCAAACTGGATATATAGTAAACACATCTTTTATTTATGAGTGATACCAAAAATGGAGCGGTCAAGCAGTGACTATCGCACAGACATGACATGCTAGAACCTTGGGTGTAAACAGTCATCAATTTAAGTTATTAAGCATACCAAGCCGAAAAAAGTAGTCCTCAAGATAGGATTATACATTACTTACCAATGATGTTCATAACCCATCATAATTGCTTTGCTGATAAATAAGTATGACTTGTAATTAGAATGGGAGTATACTTTTGTACAAAGAACTTTACATGTTTCCTCTTTGTTGAAAGTAATCTGGAAAAACAAAGTAGATAATACTCTCAGCAGTGAAACAGAAGCAAAATAAGGGCACGATTTGTCATATAACCTGAATAGAATATCAAATCTCTTTGAATTGTTTTTGGTTTAGGTCACTGAACATACTTCATAAAACACTATTAGACTGTTATTTAGACATCTAATGCCCAGTTAGGCGGCGGTTATACACTGATATTTCAACAGCTTACTAGATTCAAAAGATGAGTCACGTGGTCGATACAATAGGTGCAGTCAACAGGTCCATACATACCGTCAACAAGGAAGGGTAGATTTTATCGGGATAAATAATCAAAAGATAAGCACTGGTATTTGTGCACTGACAGCTTTACAAAAATTTTAGTTTTTGATACGGTTAGGTGAAGAGAATATTCACTGATTTCTTCCTATGATTAAGACCTAGTATATATAATAAAAACAACTAGCTACTAATGTCGAATGAACAGATCCCGCTACGTCTGATTAGAAAAAAGTTTGAATGGATTGTAAAATTGACAACCCGTAGGAAATTGGTGCGTAGAATTCACTCGGAATATTGACTAAGATGTGGTACTCTATGTTCTGAGATATTTTCCGTCCCAACAAAAATTTTGATAACAAATTCCTTAACACAACAACGAAAATGAGGTGAAATACTTGAGTATAAAAAGTGAAGCTTGGGAAGCGACAGAACTATAAGAATATACACATATAAAGAAGCAAACACACACCATTACAGTGTACACTGCCAAAATGAAGACTAGTATGAATCCATGCTGCCATGACAAAGGGCATTGTACATACGCATGTTTAGTAGCTGTATACAAACTGGTGTCCAAGTCCAGTTGTCAAGCCTATTGCGAATTAATGACACTACTAGGTCACAGTCGAAACACAGTTCATCCCAGCATTATTATTCAAAACCAAAATGTATAAGTAATACAAAGAAAATCTGAGTGTTAACTAAAATCACAACCATTAAGAACGCCAGAACAATATTAGAAAACCTTCAAATGCAGCAAGACCAGTATTTGAATGATGTAAATATTCATGAAGATTTTAGCTGAGAAATTAAGTCACTTTCAAACTAAGTAACACTACTAAATCAACTGCCGGCTATATTTTTCACTGAGACTGCATGAAAGCTTGGACGGTTGCATGATTACTGCATGTAGATTAATTGGAAGGGTCACAGGTGTCAGCAGTTACGACAGTGCTAATAAGGCCTCCATCATTTTAGAACATAATTAGATGAAACAAGCAATGATATGACTGAAGTGATTGTCTACTGACGCGCATGACCACAATTTGAAGGAAGGTCATTTTTTTCACTAAGATGCTGTATGATTGACAGTACCCAAAAAAATGCATAGCAGAATTTAGAAATGTTGAAAATGAGAATGTTACCTCATAACTGGATGGAAGAAGGCGCTCTCCGAAAACAACCTGTCCAATATTCTCCACAGGAGATGGCTCTGATGATAGGCTGCAGAAATCAAACCTAAATTGAGAAGAGAAAACAAACCGTCAGTTGTAATTATAATTCAACTAAGCAGTTATAAAGATCCCGAAGGTGCAAGGAAAACAAAGTGATTAAATAACAGTAGTTGTGGGCAAACAAATGTGAACCCCATTGAAACCAAAAAGACTTTTTAAACTGCAATCAGGGAATGAGATTTATCGAAACCTTGTCCCGCTACTTGGAAACTGAATTTCTAGATAATCAAGTTCTTCGCTGTCTTAATGTACTGAGGCATCTAATGTCATAGGAACCGTCAAGCACTAACTGCATCAATAAATAATCCCTGAAAACACAATCCGAAAATCAGCTTTTTATATTCATAAATGGCTAAAATCCTGAATTAAGCTTTTGAGCCTGGCACTGAGTGAAGCAATCTAATTATTGCAGGTGCATTAAAAGAATGTATATTTCTAAAGTCTACGCTAAACGATACCATATTTACCATCTAAATCATTTAGCACTTCCGAAACTAGTGAACAAGTGAAGCTCTACATATTAGTTAGTTAGAATTCAGTTAACCGATGCCTGGCTGAGATACACCTATTATGTGAGGATCGATGGTACTACCCAACTGGTTAGGCTGAATGATGTAGCAAAATTCAAGACAAGGACCAACTGACAGCTAGTTGAACACTTGTGACAATGGATCACATCCCCATCTGCAACAATCTTGGGAAGTACGAAAAATCAGAAAGCCGTAACTGTATGGTTAGAAACGGTATACTGAAAGTCACCGCTAAACTCACTTCGTAACTAGTAGAAATTTAGAGACAGTGTTACGTCAAATATACCAGTACTTTGCTTCCATGAAGTATTAATATCATTGGACAAACTCAAAATAAATTTAATAATATCCTTCGAGCTGAATATTCCTTTTCAATGATCGACTTAAGGTTAGGGAGTGACTAGCTTTACTCATGACTAAATAGTTAACCTATGGGATTTTACACATGAGAACTACATGAAGGTATGTTATGTTAATTTCGATTAATTTCCCTGAAGAAGTTCGAACCAGATTGCCGAACGAAACGTTGGAATTAATCATTTCAATTTCGCTGAGGTTTTACAAACATAACTTTATAAATGTCTACTTCTCACTCAGCGCTCAATTATTTTGCAACTATCTGATCAAATCTTGATCACAGTTCCTATGAACTACATGAAGGTAGTTGTCGCGAGCTGCTTTCTGGTATAAAACAGAAAAAGGCAGGTTTTATTAGTGAATGTAATCAGTTGGCATCATCTTAAGGCTTGCGCTTAGATAATTACGTTCTTGGAAACGCTTCTGTAATATGTAGCTCCCTAGGCACACGCGTCTAGTATATGTCCCCAAAGAATACTCAGATCGGGCCATTTGTTACACATATATGTATCCCATTTTTCCAACTTACTAAAGTGAAAGACAATCCATTTTTAAGAATGTTTTCATGCCATATCATTAGTGTAATTGACGATAGTTTCTACTGTTACCTTTCTACATACCCTTTGTGTTCCCCCAGTGATGTAATGAATCATGTTTTGACCTCCTATCCTACGTCAGTCCACTTCTTATATATATAGATACATATATTGCATGTTGTGGAACCTCGCATTGTACACATACACTCCCTATGAGAATGGCTCCACGGAAATGTACATTATCACATATAACATTTGTTAAAAAATACTCTCACATGTTTATTTAGATAGATATAAAAATTGATGTGTACAGCGGGAAAGCATTTTTCAAAATAAACTTACGAATCATAACGAAAAGAGATGAATGACTTCTTTGATGTTAGTTTGTTAACGAATAAAGTTATATCAGACTAAAGATAGATTAGGTACATACGAGGTCCTACTTTGCAGTTGTTGTCATTATCACTTGATTTGGGACAGTAATTGATTGGTGATATTCCAGGCAGGTACCACGCTTTTATTGTTGTAGCTTGTATCGCCAAGAACCATGCCAAAACCCAAATCACAACCATCTTACGTGTCACAGATAATCAAACGCCCTCCGAAATATCTTAACGACAACGAAAACAACATCATTAAATATATCAATAATTGTTCTGGTGCTTTGTGATGGAAATCTGGAGAAAGATACATTTCTATTACGAAAGATTATCCCTTGTGCACTGTAAGTTTGAAAAATGCTGTGATTTAGGGTGAAGCCTACAGTTAAACTTCACAAAAAATTTCGTAAGACCCTTACACACTTCTCTAAGGTTTGCCGCAACCAATCAACTTTGAAATCTACAATTTCAGATGATACGTTAGCGGTTAACTGTCGCGTTTTACAAAATGTAATTTATAAGGCGGATGCGCCAATAATAAGACTTGTATAGTTCGACTATCATTACCGTTAACGGTGGAAGTCTAGGTGAAGTCACCTCCTTTACTTTCCGAGGTGACACAGATTCACCCGCACTCGGCACAGATTCGGGGTGTCAATTTGGCGTCGGAAAAGTAATGCAGACTTTCATTACCTTGAAAGCAGAGTAAAAATCTGCTACACACAACATTTGGAACACAATCCGGATTTTCAACACATATGTAAAATCAGCGGTTGTGAGACTCAGTATATCTTGAAAATAATTTTCAACAGGCCTTTATGAATGACTGCCTTTGCTTCATACTGAGGATCAAACGGAAGGCCTAAACGGATAGGCATTATAGAAATCGGATAACAAAGCAACGGTGAACCTACCACCTAACAGATGTGTAGATAGAAATGAAGATGTATTAGACAGATGATGAGACCATTATGTAACAAAACGCTCTAAGCCGTCGAGTGGAGCCTGGATGAGAACCGACAGTTGAGACAGGCTACAGAGAGTGACATGGTGGAGACCTTTTGAGGAAATGGAAGTTTATGAGCAATTGTGGAACCAACTAAGGGAACCTTCGGGTTGGTTGAAAAATAAGTGCACTACTTAAGCCCTAAACTCCACTCAGAATCCCCAAAGAGCTAAGGAAGTGTTTTTCTGTCTTTTTTACCTGCTGTTAACAGATAGTCGTATGAAGTAAAGAAGCCCAAGAGTTCTCACTGCAGTTTTGCAGATGGAAGCCACAAAGAAAGCCTCAAACACTGCCATTTGAGGACAAAATGTAGGAAGAAAGCGAACAAAGTTTATATAGCCTACTAAAACTCAAGAAAACAGTTTCCACTGTCGACTTGCTTTTTTCGAAAGGGGATGTTATATGTAATATCCCACGGCTACGATTTCTAGCCTGGTAATCTTTCAAATATACACACATACCATTACATCTGTGCCCTGGCCTGCTCAGCCATTCTGTGTAGTGTCTACTGATTGATTTTTCTCTAGAAACTCACAGGTATACTTCACACGCGTCATTATTATCACCAACAGCCTATTCGGTGAATTCACAAGTGAATAACTGTCGTAGACCCATACCAACTGTCCCGAAATCCTTCGTAGACTGGCTAAACTTTATCTCTAAGTGGTCGACTGTCTAAATAAAGTTTGCTACATAATAACTTTGGCACTACTTTTAACATACTTTATCTACGCTTTTTGCTTTATAGTACTGCGTTATGTCTATTTTTTGGTCCACCACAAGTGAGTTTTCGTTTCAGTTTTCTTCTACCAGCCTTTAGAAGAGACAAACGAGGATTTTTCTACAGTTCTGTATCTAACTGCTGGCAGCTGACAGTAAGTAAAATATTCCTATCAGTTCCACGAAACCCAATACATACATTCAACCTGGGCTGATACATATCTTATTTTGCTACCATTAGAATCTATTCATGAAGAGAATCCCATAGTTAACGTATTTAGAAGAAAAAATTTCGTGTAAAATCCTCATGTGAAGCGTTCACTGATGCACTTCTAGTTTGTGCTCCTCTAGATCACATTTCGAGGAGGGATATTTATCTTCAGTATGGTTTACAATGTGTTCAACTAGTGAGCATGTACGCTAAGCCAAAAGAAACTTGCCTCTTTCTGCTCTCAATACACGTGGATAGGTAGAACGGGGGACAGTCAATTGTGAATTGTGAATTACGTACCTTAAGGAATGCTGCATTCACATGCTGTTTGTTTGTTTTGAAAGTGCTCTGCCACCTTTGTTGCACAGCTGATATATGTGTTGTACTGTACGCGAAAAAGCCTTGCAATGTACTCCATCCTCATTCAAAAACCCTGCGCTGCCTGTAAATTTTAGAATAATGTGGACATCGATCGTAATGACATTCAAATATTTCCCGGAAATATTCTTTACTATTATATTCTACATTACACTGAGCTTTCAGACAAGGATATATGACATGACATATCTACTGTAATACTCAAAACTGTTGATAACACACTGAAGACTGACGGATTTGAAAAGGCGAATTCTGTATTACATCCCGACGGACGACTATACCCTGAAATAGGCTTATTTGCCTGGCGCCTAGCTGCTTCTCTTTTGGTTTAAAGGTTTTCCGAATTTTTGAAGTGATTTCGAAAGCCGGTGTTGAGGTATTCCTTTGACAAAGTCATATAGACAACAGGAGGGTGAAACAATGCCTCGGAAATTGCTCACTACTACTTTTGAAAACGTTACGAAAATATTGCACGACATTGTTCGACAAATATACAGTTACTGGTACGTGCATTGTGTTACCAGTAGTTCATATCCGCTATCGACATGATAAAAAGAATTCATGATGGGGATTATTTGGTCCGGATCAATAACGCGTGTGTCAGTGTAGTTGAAGATTGGACGATCAATTCATGGTTGTTTGCTCAAACCAAACTTCCCCAATTTTCGCGGAGGCATCAATACACCAGTCATCGTCTCATCGGCCCCTGTTCAGAAAGAAGTTAGTAGAAAGCCGTCAGAAGTAATATTGTGATTTATTATTGTAATATTTGTTCATAGACCTTAGTTGTAAAGTTGGCTATATGTTGGTGTTAGAATAAATAATTCTCGAGTCGCCAAACTGGGTTCTGGTGTTTGCGTTCGTTCGTACTAGGCGTTTCTGAGAAGCTTCGAGGGACAGCGTGAGTCCCAGCGTAGCAAGAGCTGGGCATTAACGGTTTACGAGACGTGACTTACAGCGTGCTTCGTTGACATAGCGCTTAGGAAGCTCGCCGTCCATGAACATGTTCAGGGGTTCGATCCTCGGCCACCGACGCACACCCTTACCTCGCTTATTCAGAAATAATCCTGGTAAAGAGGAAAGGTTGGGAATGAGGCTAGCAACGCCATCCTGTAAAATAAACACTGCTTTAGATACTTCAAGCCAATAGCTTGAAGCCCTATGCTTTAGCCTCGCAACTTACTAGATCGCTAGGCTACTAGCTTTCTAGTTTTCTAGCCGCTCCCAAGCCCAGGTAAAGAGAGAGGGTTTGGTCGTGTTGCTAGCAACTACACCCCCGTAAAACAACCAAATCGCTACAGAAACTTCAACGAATAAATATATTGAAAATTCTAAAAACATGAGCAATAGCCTTACTTTTCGCTGGAATCGGGGAAGTGAAATGACGCAGGCTGGTGAAAGCTAGCCTTCGGGAAGCCAGTCAGCCGATGTGCCTTCTTTCGATGAAAGCAAAAGTAAGGATGGGTACCTGGAATGTTCGTACAATGTACGAAACTGGAAAGGCTGCCCAGATAGCCGCTGAAATGAGAAGGTACAGAATAGAAGTGTTGGGAATCTGCGAATGCAGATGGAACGGAACTGGAAGGTGCCAACTACCTACTGGAGAGACAGTAATCTATTCCGGCCACCTAGAGGACAACCATGAGCACACCGAGGGAGTGGCCATCATGATGTCACCAACAGAAACCAAAGCTCTCATGCAGTGGGAACCAATCTCCTCCAGGATAATGACAGCCAGGTTCAACTCAAAAGGAAGGAAAGTTACAGTCATTCAATGCTATGCGCCTACAAACGTCTCAGAACAAGAGAAGAAGGAGGCGTTCTACAGACAACTACAAGCAATAATGGACAACGTCCCAAATGGCGATATCAAAATCCTGATGGGCGACATGAATGCGAAGCTGGGAGGAGACAACACAGGAAGAGAACTCACCATGGGTCGTGAGGCCCTCGGCGAAATGAACGACAATGGTGAACTCTTCTCAGACTTCTGCGCCTTCAATGATTTGGTGATTGGTGGTAGTGTGTTCAAACACAAGGATATACACAAGACGACATGGATTTCACCAGATGGAAACACCAAGAACCAAATAGACTTCATCTCAATTTCAAGAAAGTGGAGACGGAGCCTACTGGACACAAGGTCAAGGAGAGGAGCAGATGTGGGTTCAGACCACTATCTAGCAGAAGGGACTTTCAAGGTGAAACTAAAAGCCTCGAGGATAGCTGGGGATAGGCCACAATGCAAGTTCAACACTCAATTACTGAAGGACACAACCACAAAGGACACTTTCACTGCAACTGTCAGAGCAAAGCAGGAAACACTACGCGACATCACTGAAGAATCATGCGTGGAAGAACATTGGAAGTCTCTGAAGGCGATTCTCAACGAAACGTGTTCAACGGTTCTAGGAAGAAAGAAGAGACAAGACAAGGAATGGCTCTCAACGGACACTTGGAAATTAATAGAAGAGAGGAAAATGGTGAAAGAGAAAATGATTCAATGCAAGGACGGACAGGAGAAGGAGACGCTGAGCTCAACTTACAAAGCACTGGACAAAGAAGTGAAGAAGAGTGCTAGTGTAACAACAGAAGACAAGGGCCAGGCAACAGAACGTTTTATTATGAAAATCAACACGTATTTATACACATTTCACATACATTATTATAGCTTATGCAAGTAGACAAGCGCAGTCATCTGATTGGTTGTTTATCAGAAGTTAGGCAGACAAACGCAGGCTTCTGATTGGTTGTTTTGGGATTCGTCGACAAATAGAGTTCTCTATCTGCGAATCATATTTTGCCACGTTAACTTTGCTGTGATTGGTTGTTAAATCAGCCTTGCTCATATTTTCTCACGGCCTGCTCTCACCACAC